TTATTAGTTCCACTCAAAAGCCAAACCAACCACCCCACACTTTAACTTTTACAAAGTTCATAAACAATTCAAGTGCTCATGAGAGGTTACAATGGTTCAACTAGATAGTCCATTCAAACAAATGGGTAAGGCTTGTAATGTGGTTGCCAAAGAAACAGGATTACAGGCTCAAAGGGGTTAACTACGATACATAACAATTAGGTGAGTAAAATATTTATATATGGCTCAACAAGAAATCGCCTATATCACTTCCAAGACTGAACAACACTACTATTTCGCTTTGCAAACACACGGGGCAAGTTCTAGGCATCAAATGCAATGCACAGAATACCACAAAACCTTACACACACATGGCACATAACTCACTCAGGATTGGTTTCATCAAGACACTCTAGTCAAAGCAGTTAATCAAAGTTAAGATCATACAATTTAAGGTACTTATACAAGAGTCAAAAACTGAGCCTAAGCATCACAGCCAAAGTACTCACTATTCTCAAGACATAACAAAGTCAAGAGATATTGCTTCATTTCAAAACAAAACACAATGGCTCCTATTCCTTAAAAAAAACTAACTACACCCGGTTCAAATAAAACCTTGGAAAAGAACCGTGGCCCAAAGAAAAACCAAGGGGTATTTGCTACACTACCTAACAACACAAAAAAATCTTTTTGGTATTTTCTTTAGACTTACTTCCCTCAAGAAAACTGTCTAAAAGATCCGTCATCACGAAAAGTCCAATCTTTTAAAAAAAAATTATTTAATTAAAACACAGCTAAAGTAGCATGAAAAGTCACCCAGACAATCTCCTTACCCCACACTTAAAATTGTGCATTGTCCCCAATGCACACCCATACATACAAGAGGGTAAAAGAAACTCCCTGGTAGGTCAAAGGCCGAAGCACTAGCAGTTCATGGGGTACTCAGACTTCTCCCAGAATTGGTCCTTCGTGCGGGTACCTCACACTTAGTTCCAACCATTTGATTTGTTGTTGCATCCTTCCAATACCTTTGCTTTCCATGCTCCTAAAAAAATAAAAATAAAAATTGACACTACAAAAATAATACAATTAAAAAATAAAAAATAAATAAAAAAAAGCAATAAAGCTGGGTTGCCTCCCAACAAGCGCTTGATTTAACGTCCCGGCACGACGTGAATCACTTTCTGCCTCCACTTTGAACTTATGAATCGGACCCCAAGTTTTGATTCTGCTCTATAATCATGCTCCTGGGGTGGTGGAACGAATCTAACTGGCCCAAGGAAATAATGTAGTATTCTGCACTCCTTGGCCTTTGTATGAGGTATGTAATCCTGACTTTCTGGCAAGAAGAATTCCAGAATATATGCACCTTGTTCCTCATTCCTTGACTCTTCGATTGGTTCAGATGACTCTATTTCCATATAATCATCCAAACATAATGTGGAAAAATGCTTGGAGTGTGGACCAATGCGCTCAAACACATGAACTTCAGGACTCTCAACATCCTCAACATCAGTGATACTAGAGTCAACAAAATTTATATCCTCAAAGTCCTTGGCTGGCTCTAGTCTCACTTCTTCAACATTGACATCCTCAAATTGTGGTTGGCTAGGTTGTTGATGTTCTACTCTGACCTCCCCAATTAACACCTCAAATTCATGCTCTTCTTGGCTACTATCCTCAATATTGGCTTGTTGAGCATTAAAAGCTCCAACCACTTGACTCAATTGAGCCTCCAACTTGCAAATAGTTGCCTCTTTCCTTTCTATGTGCAATTGTTTCTCATTGTTTTGTTCCAGAAGGCACTTTAGTATATCGTTGATCTCCTTCAGGCCCGCGTTCCCAGGTTCTTTGTTCCTATTAACTTCACAAGAAAAGGTAGAACCATCATAGTAAGGGATTGGGGGAAAATAAGAAATATAAGCACAACCATGAAGGTGACCATTTTTACCACCACACACATCACACACATTCCACAAATAAGATTGAGTTGGTGCACATAACTCGCTCTTAGGAACGTTTTGAAAATTTTGCCTCGGGTGGTTTCCTTCACAATATGTATGGAGATCAATAGTAGAATTATCTACACCTAAATTCCCATAATTACAAAATGCCATGTTTCTCAAATCAACAGTTATAAAAAAAATACAAAAAAAAAAATAAAACAAACTAAAAGTTCAAACTTGAATCCTAGAAATATATACAGCTACAACTACACCGTTAGTTCCCCGGCAACGGCGCCAAAATTGGATCACGCCCAACTATGCCTTATAAAAAGGACAATGCGGTCGTTGCAAATATAATCCGGTTTACAAGTCCGGAGTCGAATCCCACAGAGAACTAAGGTTTAGCTACAACTGTTCACTATCACCAAGAAGACAAGGTTGAACAATTCATAACTTATAGATATTAAGATTCTTGTGTTTAACTAACTACTAACAAATTAAAATAGTAAATTAACAACTAACGATACTGAGGGTTAGAGAAAAGATTAAGGAGGTCTAGAGTTATGATTTCCCCAATTGTCGGAATCCTTCCCGCTATGTCTTCTATAATTTCGCCTAAGTATTCTCTACCGATCATGAGCACTCTTATTACCGTAAATCTCTCCCGAGTAATTACGACAATTTACTAGACGCACTCTCCCGAGCTACGCTAGCTGGCTTTTAATACAGCTCACTTCAGATCGCACCCAAGGCTTCGTTATCCCTAATCCCACCTTTAAACCCTCGGTTATTGATCCCTCATATACTCTGGGAGTGGTGTTGTTCAACAATTACCTAAATATGCACTCTCTCCCGAGTTATGCATACTAAATAGGCACAGCTAATTGAGAGCTCTTCAATCAACCAGAATATAAACGTAGTTGAACAAATAGAGAAAAGCTATGGCTCAATTATATAAAAACATAACAAGAATTTATCCTACAAAAGGTTCTATCAAAACTCTAGATAACAAATTAGCTATTCATAATAGTATGTAAAACTACAAGACTAAAAGTCGTAACCAACAATGAAAAATAGGAAGAGGAAGGAAAAACTCGTAGAAGAATTCTCCGCCTTGCTCCCAATGTATTCTTGCCTCCTTAGGTCGAATCTATGTCCAAAATATGTCCCCTCTAAGCGTGGTGTGTGTTCCTCCACGTGAATTCTCCTCCAAAATATGTTCTATCCCCTCAAAGTGGCGTCCTCCCGTGTATATATACCAAGTAGGGTTAGGCCCAAACAATTATACCTTCTCCAATGTGAAAAAGGACACTTTTCCCGGGTCAGACCGCACCTTTCTGCCTCAATCTTTTTAGCGCGTGAACTATGCGCGACTTCGCGCGTCCTTCGCGCATCTGCTCGTTTTTCACCCTGTTCTGTTCCGAATTTGGAAAAACGTAAAACATGAAAGTTGTATCCCTTTGAATTAGCTTTCCAACCATATATTGTGGAGCCCAAATGGAGTTTTGAGCAAAAAGTTATGTCTATTTTACTAGACAGTGCGCAATATGCCTCCTCAAGTCTTCGTTCGTACTTAATTATCAAATTTGACCCCCGAACACGATCCCGGCTTAATTCCTTGAGCTTTTACTCAGACTTCAAAGCTTCAAATCACTTAAATTCATTCCATAACATCTATATAGCTCGGAATCACACCTACAAGGCATAAAACACACAATTAGTGCAAAACACTAGCAATTAAAGCGCAAACTCAATTAAAGTGCAATAAATTCGAGTGTAATAAGCGACTAAAATATGCAGTTATAGTCTATCATCAGCACATTATTATTATTATTATTATTATTATTATTATTATTATTATTATTATTATTATTATTATTATTATTATTATTATTCTTCCAAACCCAATTTATATACTAATTGACCATCCAACCCCTAATTAGAGAACTTATATAAATCAAGATATATGGTCAAAATTAAAGTGTGGAAAACAAAAAGATACTTCAAGCAAGAACACACAATTCTAAGGTTTCATCATCTCTGCAAAAGCAAAATTGAGTTTGGCTATGAAATAACGGAATTCATCCATCTAATCGAAAATTCAAGATACTAACAGAATTCATATTTTACGAAAGAAAATTCAAGTCGTAATTCAAGTGATCATCTAGTTTCATTAAAGAAAAACTTGTATTCTCTTTAAACTATGTGATTGAATAAATATATTCAAAGAAAATAAATATTTCTTTTTGTTACCGGAAGAAGAAGCTTATTCATTCTTCAACTAGAATATCATTCAATAAGGATAAATAGTTAGAGGTATGTCGTTAGGCAAAGTCTGGGATTGATGTGATGTCATTTTCTGTTCCACCCCATTGATCTCCTTTTTTCAACATCATACTAATGGTGGTCCTCCTTCAAAACACACTCTCTCTCTCTCTATATATATATATATATATAAAATGCAACATACAAATAGGGGAGAATTTCAACAAGCAGCTTATTCGCCAGCCCCAACAGCATTCACAATAGGAAAGACCCCTCTCTATGTGCTTTGCACATGGAGATATATGTAGCTATAATACCCTATTAATTACACACACTCCATTGAGGGATGGGATTGCACGTGAAGGATCCGAGCAGGCAGTGACGAAACCAAAAAATATTATATTTTATATATACAATATAATTTTTTTGATGAAATGTGTTTAACTGACTCTTTACTCCATGTGACTATGCCGTTGGAAGCAGAAGTAGAGCTCCCCTGCATAAAAGGATTTAATTGAATTTCTTAGTCGAAAAATTGGACTATGCAAGTAGGAAAAAAACAATTTCTTCATGTACATAAATTACTAAATTTTGTATACATAATTATTGAAGCTTCTAGTATAGTAGTAAAACTGTTTAAAACTATTTTAGGTCGTATGTTTGAAATTCCGATTTAGCATTTTAATATTTTCTTGAATCCTCTTATTAAAACTCTTGGCTTTGGTATTAAAGGAAATATTGATCGGCCTTAGGAGGAAAAACTACGTAGTAGAACATGTTAATAGGATTAGAAACTAAAATGAGACTATAGGTTAATAGCATGCCATTGTTCCAATTGGACAAGCAAAAATTTAAATAAAGTTTACAAGAATTGTCTTGTCAAGTAAAAAAGCAAAAGCTCATGTCAATTATTGCAATTGATATTGTAGTGAAGGGAAACAAGAGAGAAGATGTCTCTGACCAAGACAACTAGAGGACAAGTTACGTAGGAGGTATGGCCCTTGTTCCCTCTTTCTTCCTTTTGTGAAGTATTTAGATTGGACTTTTTGCCATTTTTCACTTTCAAAAAGGGCCAATAACATGGGTTGGCAAGAGCTATATGCATATGGGAGCTAGGAGGGAATTGTTTTGAGGATCCCTTTTTTGTAGACAATTCAAGAAGTGGCTATAACATGGGGTTGTCACACATTTTAGGATACAAGATATGCCAAACAAGTAAAAAGGGAAAGAACAAAAAAAAAAACATTTTCATAAGGACAAGCCCCTTTGGTTTAATTTATGCCACCTTATGAATTATGAATCATTCTTTGGTCTTTCTCTTTGTCAGAGTTCTTATCCATCCATGTCTCACCTTCACTCCTTCTAATTTGGTGCCCACATTGACATGGCTAGCACCTTTGGTGGTGGATGATCTCTTCAATCTGATGAGCTGGAATATATGTCCAATCCGCTTTCGCCACCTAAGCTGCATACGTGGCTTTGCATGCTCTATTACTGCTCCTACTTTGCCCTCCTTGCTTGAGCTTCTGCTCCAATTAGATATATTGTCACAGTGCTTAAGTGACACCTTTGGTACTGTGCCAGCTCCTCCCTTCTCCCATGAGGCAACTCCATTATTTTCAAACTTTATTGATATAAAAGAGTCTACAAAAAGTTATAAATTAGAGTTAATCTATATTCAAAAAAAAGAGGAAAAGGGAAAAAAGAAAAATAGAGAAGTCAATGAGTAAAACAATTAATTATTGTTATTTTACGTGCATCTAAAGTCATTCGTATTTTTTCATCATCAACGAAAAGCAAAAAAGGAGGAAATATAAAACAGAAGTAAAGAGAAACAATCATTGTTGTATTATATACAAGCAATAAAAACTAGAATAGAAAAAAATGTCTTAAAATTAAGGAAAACATTGTTATTCCTCGTGCCGTGGAAACAGTCTCTTGCAGAAATACAGGGTAAGGCTGCGTACGATAGACCCTTGTGGTCCGACCATTCCTCGTACCTCGCATATAACGGGAGTTTAGTGCACCGAACTGCCCTTTTATTGTTATTCCTCATCTATACAAAGGCGTCGTCAAAAAAAAAAAGGGTAAAGTGAAAAAAGAAAAAGAAAAAAGAGTTCTCAATAGTCATACTTAATTTGACTTGAGCATTATTAATTATTGGAGAGTTATAAGTACGCAACAAAAATAGTATATTTGTATGCAAGTTTTACGTAACACATAATTATGTAACTACATGCACTTTGTATGGAAAGTTTACTCGAAACTCAACTGTGAAAACAGGAAGCTAAAATTGAAAATATCTGTAAGTAAAATTAAAAGGCCCTTGAGTAATGACACTTATTCGGTGGTATTTATTCATTTGCTACCTACTTTTTTACCTAATTTTCAAAATTACAGGCCGTTGTGATTTCAGATAAACAAAACTTAAAAGTAATAGTAAGATTTTAGGCCACATTAATTTAGCTATTTTACCCAATAATACTACCACATAAATGTCCAAATATATAAAACCAAGATAAAGTAAAGGCTGAATATTTCAAACACATGACTTCTCAAGAAAAGGGGTTTGTCCACAAGGAATAAAAAATAAAAAATAAAAAAAGTGGGGCGAACGATGGGTAGTGACAAAGACGGATGCGATAGATTTGATCCAACATTTTTCACACAGAGCATAAATATGTTTATCTGAAAAAGTAGTAAATTTTCAAAAACACAAAATTCTGAATCCATAATTACAAAAATATAATGGTTTCAGCTGTATGAATATTAAATAAGTCGAACTCATCAAATATAAATTTTGAATTCGGCTCCTAACAGTAGAATATAATATATTAGCTAAGGGTTCAGACAAACTCAATAATTTTTGCTTAAATCTTGTATTTATATAAATAAAAAAATTGTTAAAAATATATAAATATTTAATTACAAAATGAAAAACTAAAATGAGCTATGATTTAGATGAAAAAATCAAAATTCATAACTTCAAATTCTGACTCCGGCTTTGCTAAATTGAAAAAAAAAAAAGGAGGAAAAAGAAATTAATGGTAACCTTCATAGCTGCAAGTGGAAGAAGCATCATCATGAATAATCTCTTCGATTTTCCGGGCATGTCTAATGTCAAGGCGACTGAGAAGAGAGCTCAAAGCAAACATCTTAGGCAGATAATGAATTCTTGATTGATGATGATCGTCATTCTTCTTTTCTGCACTACTCAAGAAACTGTAGTAGTTTTGATCTCTGGTCTTTGATGTTTTAATCTTCTTTTCTTGCTTAGAAGCCAAGACTAGAAGCCTTTCATTTAAGCACAAAGCACATACTCCTATAACCACTTCTTTGGGATGGAAATAACACGAGGAAGTGTTGTCATTCATGTTAATTAGTTGCAGAGAAAGAGAAAGAGAAGGACAAGTTTGAGTTTGAGAAGTTAGAAGAATGTAATAAAGAAAATGTGTGAGTTGAAAGAATGAAAAAAAGTGTGTTTTGTGTTTTTACATGTAAATATATATGGCTCGAGCATGTCGTTAACCCCCCCCCCCTTCCCCCTCCCCCCTCCGCACTCACTGAAAATTGGTCATTAAGTTGATCGAGGACGAATTATCAACATAAATCTATCAACACAACTTTTAGAAGTGTTAAATTATGTAATAAACTAATAGTTGTATAAAAGAATTTTTATATATAAGTGAATTTTAATATGTTATAATTAATTATGTAACATGTATCTTACTTCTAAGTTTTTTTTGGTATATATATATATTGTTTCAAAATAATTACACCATAATATGAGAGATTGAGCTATGAGTTTCATCTTCATTGTCTAGCATCACACTAGTATTACAAATATTAATTTTTCTTGTAAATACAATTCCTAGGATGTCTGCCCACATTGCGTCGTTTGCAAACATCGGAGGAATTGCCAAAATCTCTATCCTTTCAAAAAAAAAAAATTGGTTCCTTCCTTGGCAAGGAGTCTGCTGCTTCCTGAAGCTATGTAGTGTTGGGCTCCCCAGCTGCTCCATCAAGGATCAGCATTCACACATGCTTTCATACTTTAACATTTTTATAACTAGTTCGGAATTAGTGTTGAACTGTAGGGGTTTTAGAGTATGGTCAAGTGCAATATTTAATCCCTGCCAAAGGGCTTGGAGTTATGCCATGATACTAGTAGTATGTGGCAGAGCCTTGAGGTAACCTAATACCAGTCTCCCATATTATTCCTGAATACTCCACCAACTCCCCTAATCTTGTGGTAGTACATGCATCTCCGTCAGTATTTGATTTATAGTACCCAACAACTGGTGGTTGGCATTTTATGTGAATGGTGGTTGTGTTTGTGGTGGCTCTATGGTGCACTGCCACATGATGGCATTCTATAGCCTTAGTAATGGTTTGATCAACAGGGATGTGGTTTCTCTTTTTATCAAACACATTATTGTTTCTAGTTAGCCAGATGCTCCAGAAGCAGAAAAGTAGTTGGAATTTCCAACCAATTATGTCATTGAAAGGCATCTTCTTTAGCTTATTCCAGGTAGTTTTGCATAGAGAAAGAGAGGAAAGGGTAGCATTCACTGTTAGTGCATTCATGTGACAATTTCAACTAAAAAATTTAGCATTGATACACACAAAGAAAAAGTGGTTGATGTCTTCCACATCTATATTATAGAAGTAGTAGATGTGGTTGACATTCAGGCCAATGTGATGTAGGTGTTTCATGTTGGCAGCCTGTTGTGTTGCATGAGACAAGTGAACATTTTAATTTTATTTGGGACCTTATTAAGCCTCCATATCCAGCTAACTTGGTCATCTTATACTCAGATCAGAATCAATGAAAGAGTAGGAAGTTTTTGCACCGAATATCACATTGCTTGTGAGATTCCAGATTAGTTTGTCTTCACCATTGGTAGTATGAAGGTGGATTGAATAACATTGGAGATGGAATGAGGAATGGGGTAGTGTACAACACTAAAGTTCCACTCCCTATTGGAGTACATTGAATTAATTTTTAAAGTTATAAATTCATTATCTTTCTAGGAGCCTTGAAGGATGGAGTGGAGTGGTTACATGTTAGGGATCCAGTTGTCAGTTAAGAAGTTCATCATATCCCCTTTTATGAACCACCCACCTAGAATTTTTCGTGCATACCTTCTAGCCTTTCTAAATGCATTTCCATCTCCTAGTTTTGGCCTTAGCCCCGCTCTGCCTCCCACTACATTGTTTTTCCATTAAGAATCTAGCCCAAATTATGTCTCTGTTGTGGTACATTCTCTGTCTAGGCTTGCATGACTAGCCTTGTTATTCATCTGAGCTTGTTGTAAACTAAGTCCCCCACTCCCTATTTTTTGGCTTAGTTACTGTATCTCATTTAACTAAGTGTAGCTTTTTTTTTTTTTTTTCCTGAAGTGGTGCCCCAAATAAAATTCCTTTAGATTATGTCAATTTGGTTAGTTATATAGGATGGCAGTTTAATGTATTGCATCAGATGGCTGGGGATACTTTCCACGCTTGACTTTGCCAATGTTGTATGGCCAGCCATGTTTAAGAACTTGGTTTTCCAACTTGCAATCTTTGTGTTCATGTGTTTATGATGAACTGGAAATCATTGTTAGTGGGTATTTTGTGGAAGATGGGAAAGCACGGGTATTTGCCAAAATCTGTGCTTTTCCTAATTCCTACATGGAGCTACATAGGTTGGCCCAAATCATCCTTATAGTTGGATGAGAAGATAACCTTGGATTTTAGGAAGTTGACCTTCTGTCCTGAAGCAACATTGATTTCCTCTAGGGAAGCCAAGATAGTATCACAGTTTTTCCTATTGGCTCTAGCAAACAGAGTAAGTCATCAGCAAAGAATATGTATGATATTTTAGGACCACCCATGTTGATGCTGGTGAGAAACCAATCATATCTAGGTACTACACTCTCAATTCCTAGTTAGCCTCTCCATAAAGATTATGAACAGATATGGAGAGATATGGTCTCCCTATCTGATCCCTCTAATAGGGTTGGAGTAGCTGGTTTGGTTCCCATTTGACCAGAATAGAAATGGAGCTAGAAAAAAAAACAAGAAAGAGTCAGCTTGATCAGCCTAGTTGGGAAGTTAAAGAACAATAGGGAGTCCCTAATGACGGACCACTCAAGTTTGTCAAAGACTTTTTCCAGGTCAATCTTTAAGATTGTGTTGATATTTTTTCCTTTCATTTTTTGAAAATGAGTAATGTATTCCTGGACAATAATAGCAGCATTATCTGCAGCTCTTCTATTTGATAGAAAACTAGCCTGAGTGGGGCCAATGATAATGTGAAGGATTGGCTTGATCATGTTCACAATGATCTTTGTGACCAGCTCGTACATGGTGTTCCGCAACCCAATTGATCTGAATTTCTTTAGCATTGTAGCATTAGGACATTTTGGGATTAGGCATAAGTAGGTTCTATTCATATCAGAGGGCATTTGGATGTAGAGAATATCTTCTAGCATAAGTTGTTGACCTGGCTAGAAAGGATATGTCAGTATTTCAAGTAGAAGAGTGGATGGAGTCCATCAGGCCCAGGTACTTTCAGAGGTTTGAAGGAATTAATGGCTTTCTTGATTTCGGATAACCTAAGGGGAAGGTCCATAGTTGCTCTATCGTTGTTGGATAGAACTAGAGGTCTATCAATATTATATGAAGTGTGCTAGGTGGATGATTGGTAGGTTGTGGTAAAGAGATTATTAAAATAACTCAAGATGGTGTCTTTGATGTGAGGTTCCTAAATTAGGTTACCTACTTCATCTTCTAAGCATAGAATCATGTTCCCCCTCCTTTTGTTGAGAGCGGTTGTGTGGAAGAACCTTGTGTTGGCATCCCCATTACACAACCAATTGATTTTAGATTTCAGCTTCTAAAAATCCTCTTCATTTTTTAGGATAGATGATAATTCAAGTTGGAGGTTGGCTTCTAACTCATGAAGGAATCTGCTGAAAGGTTAATCATTAGACTTTTGGATTCCATTTAGTCTGGAAAATGTGTTTTTTCCTATGAAAAATATTCCCAAACACATGCTTATTCCAATTTGTCACTCTATTTTTTAACACACTAGTTGCCCTCAAAAGGTCATTAGTTGGTGGGAAGCTCTCATGCACAATGGATGGGAATTCAGGATGGTTGCACCACATAAATTCAAACCTAAAAGGTTTCCTGTGACCACTGTAGTGCTGACTAATAATCCCAAAGCCTATTCATATCATTCAAATAGTTACTAGCATAAATTGTAGAACATAACCACTTAGAGTTGTATAGAGTAACCTTTACCATGACATGAACTCCCTGTGGTGTAGTGGAGACTTCCTCAAGCTTCACAAGATCATCTTTCCACATGACCACAATTCCCCCATATTGCCCTACATCAGAGGTTTGGAATTGAGCTGAGAATTTCAGCTCAATAGTGAGGTGTTTATGGTCAGTCATTCTTGTCTCCAGCAAGACAAGCAGAGTATGGTTGTGTAGCTTGACCATTGAAGCACAGTGTCTGTGGAACTCAGCACTATTGGATCCCCTCGCATTCCATATTATGAAGTTCATCGGTAACAGGTTCTGAGATAGGGCTTTCCTCTTTATTCTCGTCCTCTTTCCCACATGGTTTGTCTTCACGAGTCCCACCAGAGGTTCTATGATTACTGCCGAGCAATAAGCATTTCTCTGTACTACTCTTTGAACTCTATCTCCTGAGTCTTTTGCATGAGCAAGACTTTTGTCTTTGGGGCTCCTAATTTTTCCAGTATGTTCTCTAGGTCTAAGTTGGACTCCCTGAGGTAATGTAGGATTTGGTTGGTCCCCATGTTCAGTTGTTCCAGTGGTGACAAAGGGTTTGGTGGTGATGATGGTGGAATTTGCTCTGTTGGTGGCCATAGTGTGAAGGCAAGGGACATAATCAGTGCTTCTAGGTTCATCAGTGGGAAGAAGGGCATAGTCTGGCATAGTTGGCCCATAAGACTGTTGATCTCTTCAATTGATAGGGGTTGTTGGGTACCCGTATACTGGGCCTGTAGAAGCGTTGACACTCATAGTTGGTGGCCAAAATTGGCCAGGCCCTGGTGTAGTGGATGGGTTTCTAGAAGCGCTAAGTATCGTGGTTTTTGGATGTTAATTTCTACTAGGATAGGCCCTATCATTATTTGTAACATTTGGGACTGTCCGTATAGCACCATATCCAGCCACAATTCTAGCTTATGCTCCGGTGGTAGTGGGATAGAGGAGATCGCAAGAGGTGTTGCGTCTTGGAGTTGGTTGTGGGGGTTTTGGTTCTTCATTGGTGGCTTTCTCTTTGCAATCTCCACCGGTTTTTTTTGTAGAGATCAACTCACTATCTATATTGTGAATATAAATCATTTCCTCTTTGTTGGATTCCGTGTAGGGGGATTTGTGATCTTTGCTCCATCTTGGAGGATTGACAACTAGTGTCACTTCACTAATCAGAGGGGGTAATTGATTTTGAGCA